AGTGTGGTCATAAGCTAATATCATGTCAATAAAAGATGCTACAGCTTTTGTATTCTTAAACAAAAAACCAGGAAGTGAAAACCCAAAACCGATCATCTTATTATAGAGAAGTATAAAGGTGTATTGGAGTTATTGAACCTTTTTTCCTTAGCTGTATCATAAATATTAAATCGCAAACCCTCTAGTCGCGTGCTTCTGACTGATACGGCGTTTTATTACATTTTATTTTTATATTTATTGAATTCTTGGCCCGGAAGAAGTTTACGTGTAATGTGATACGTATTTCTCGTATTCTAAGACTTCTTTTAAAAAAATACAAAATGTGTTTAATATAGGATTAATCTGGTTATGATCTAGACTAGACTATTTGAAAAATCCTTTTCACCTTATACTTTTCAACCTACCTACTATTTTAGTTGGATCTTAGATAAATCTCTTCATATTTTCTGACTAATATTATAAATGTAAACGTTTACATAGATGGATTGTTACCACGTATCTCCAGAACGAATAAACAGATCTCGCGGAAACTGGGCATAAATATTGCAAATGTAAAAGAATACATATGCTAATTAGATTTTTTTTTAATTTATATCACCGGGTATGGAGTCGTACTCCACATCTAGTTGACTATAAGAGAAAAACCATTAAATTTACTAAAAGCAACGGTTCATTAAATGTATTTTCTTTCTCATGCAACGTTTTTGTACGGTGATTAAGAAAGTTTGTTTTTTCTTAGTGAACTTCGGACCCCTAAGTCATTACGGAGGCGGTAAGGGATAACTTACAGCTCATTGGTTTTCTATTGTCCCTTTATCGAGCCTTTTTGCCATGTTTGCGACACAGGAGGGGAGATTTTGCAAAAAAAGTAAATGGAACTTTGTTGCTTTGATGTCGGTTCTCTTTGATCCAATTTAAGGTTGATAAATTTCTCTGATGTACACACGTAAAGGGCACAAAGTATTTTGATTTTTAGCAACTTAATGAACCAGTCTAGCTAGGAAGGTTAACCAATAAAGCAACAAATTACAGATAAATTCTTTTATGAAATCGTCAGTAATACTTCATTATTGTTATGATCATCGCTCGTTGAAAACTTGAAATTTTTAACCATTCTCTTAAACTAATATAGGATAGTATATTAAAAATAGATTGTTACTTTAGTTTAAATTTTAATATACCTCTATCAGTTTAGGCAATGTAACCCGAGAAAAGTTAATAGTTAAAGTTACCGCCGGGGTCCAGAAATACGCTATTTATTAATAGTTCTTAAACATTAGTAATAATCAAATATAGCCTATGTTACTCGCAGATAATTTACCTTTCTAATGGTGAATAGATTTTTAAAATCGGCCTAGTACTTTTTACGTGAATCGAATACATACAAAAATACAAATCTTTCCTGTTTATAATATTAATTTAAATTGCAGAAGTATAGATAGTGTTCATAGGTCTTTGATAAATTTGAAAACATTGAATTAATATTATAAATTGAAATAGTAACTTAATATATCCTATGCACCTAGATTTCCCCAGCTCCCTTAACTACACGGAGCACGTCAAAAACCACAACTTCACGAAACTTGGTTTGGATGCAGTTTAGTTGTCGAACGCAAATGCACACTGCCACAAATTTTGCCACACTCTAGCTAAAGTTTGTTTTAACATTTCAGAACTAACATCGTTAATTTATATATCTTTATAGTAAAATTACCATAAAAATATTATATTTTTAACAAATTTTATAATTAGTACAGTAAAAGTGGGTTTGTATATAATTTAGATTTACATTTTTTCAGGCTTCAATTTCACTAATATTATTGAGAGAAGTGAAATAATAAACTAACTATAACAAACATTGCTCAGAAAAAAACAAAAAAATGTAAACTTTCTCATACTTCGGTAGTGTTTTGTTTTTACGGAACGAATAACGATAGCAAAATTTACATTGAGGTCTTTAACTAAGCAGTTTCGGTACGTATCTGAAGTGAAGTCTACAAGACTAATTGAATTACCTGCTACCGAAAACGGTATCAGTCTGAGACGAGATTTGATTTTTATTAGAAACGAAATCAGGGTGTGTATTCACTTCGCATACAGACCGGTTCAATTAAGTTTAGTAAATTGGAGACTGATTTGCTACGATTTAACACATGTGTATAAGTTTGTAGGTTCTTACGTATAATTTTGAATACGTTAACTTTGGTTTCTTATGTGAAGAACATTATTACAAATTAAACACTTTCGATTAAAAATGAATGTCTGTTGGAACGCCAATAGTTTCATGGGTTTTCGACCACATAATTGAGAGTTCGAATCCCTCAATTCGATTACTGTCGTTAACCATATCATAGATAGTATCGTACAGACGTTAGTTGAAATGGCACATAATATATTATTAAATAAACAAAAATCTGTAAACATTTCAATGCAAAGAAAATAGAAAATGTTGTTTATAAAAACAAATTGCGGATAATCAGGTCATTGAGTAAAAGAATTTGCGAAACTCTTACTCCCTTAGGGACACCAATCGCTGCGCACGTAGCATACAAATTAGAGTATTACGTGACATTTGCATATAAAGTATTTAGTTAAACCTCCAAGTGGACCACCTAATAAACGCAAGTAAAGCTTCTTGCTATTTATTTATACGTAAATTCTTAATCCTTTATAGTCTGTGGCAATTATAAACTATGCAAGAAATGTGCTAATAACCTATAATAATGTTATGAATAGGAAAGATTTGTATTTT